GCTACTACTACTACTACTACCAACACTAACACTACTACTGCTGCTACTGAGGTTGATTTATTTTTTTCCCTCACCGCCTTTGACTATACAAGTGTTACAATGCGCTACTAAGACAAGAACTACCATTCCGAATGAAGTACCCACAATTGCTGTGGCTATATTAATGGCAGTAGATGCAGCAACGACAACACAGAATTGTGTCAATAGGTTAGAGAAACACAAATAGTAGTCAGCAGTTACTTCATGAGTAGTGTCTTGTTGATGTAGCCGATTCCATCTCCAGGACCAACTGGTCCAGTGCTAAGCGTTGCTATAACAGTCTGTAGGTTTGTGTTTGGTTCTGTGCGATCTAGTGGGAAACAAATAAACGGTATCAATCAATTAACTGAATTATATATTATATGAAATAAAATTAAAAAAAATTAGCCTTATACAAAAGAATTAACTAAATGTTTACTCTAACGCACAAAGGGTTACTGTTCATCCATTTTTTACTTGTGTCTTTTTCTTTCTCCTGTTTTGTGCCTCTAAACGTCGCAGGTTAAGAGATTATCGGTTTCCTAGCTAGGTCACGCTCAATTGCCCGGTATATGGTGATACCGTGGAGTCTCTAGATATTAGTGACTCCTTCAATCCATCTTGTCCGTGGTCGACCCTTACCTCTTAGTGTTTCTACTTTAATATTGTACGCTTTCATAACTGGCATAATCGGATTCATTCTGATTTAATGACCAAACCATTTCAGCCTGTGTTAATCAATGAATTTAATTATAGGCGTAGGTATTGTTTCAGTAGTTCTTGTAATGTCTTCGTTTCTTATGTGATTTCTTTTAGTTTTGTTCTCGGCCTTTCCATGTCTTCGTTTTTTATGTGGTCTGTTCTAGTTTTGTTCACGGCCTTTCTATGTCTTCGTGTCTTCTGAGGTCTCTTCTAGTTTTGTTCACGGCCTTTTTATGTCTTCGTTTCTTCTGTGGTCTCTTCTAGTTTTGTTGACGGCCTTTCTATGTCTTCGTTTCTTATGTAATCTCTTCTAGTTTTGTTCACGGCCTGACTCAGACATCTTTCTTCCAGGTGCTTAATTTGCTTTTCTGTTCTTTGGTCAGTCCAAGTCTGACACTGACAGTTCAAATTTAGCATGCAGAATGCATCTATAATTTGACATTTTACATTTTTAACTCATTCTGGGTAGAACCTCTCAAAGCCCCACCCCACATACTCGTCATGAGAGGTGGTAACAGGACACAGTAGGGGATTGCTAGGATTGGGCAAAGAAGGGTGTAGCTTTGTGCCACGGGACCGCTTCGGCAGCCAAGAAGGATATCCTAGGTCACCCCGAAACGTCCTGGCCAACAGGGCTCTGGTGAAGTTGCGACAGGCCTAGCAAGCCGGCAATGGATGCACTATTGCTACAACAGATACAGTGAGATGTAAACAGACTGGCTCGATATGGAGTAAGTCCACACCTCACTGAAGTTTGCAAAAGCTCAAAAAGAGATTGTAGAAGCGTAGTTAAAATAAATCACGGAATATCCAGACCATTCAACTCAAGTATTGGCCTTCTCTTTCCACTTAGTGAAGCCATGTGTTTGCAGGTCTGCTTTGACGTTATCTTTCCATCATCTTCTCGGCGTACCTCGTGTTTTACGACCATTGAGTTCCCTTGTGAATACAGTTTTTACCTTTCTGTCATCTGACATTTCCTCAATTCGTCCCAGCTATTTCAGTCTTTTAGCCCTCATGTTGCCAGTGATCAGTGGTTTATCGGGTATACGGGAAGAGCGCCCGTATTTTTACAGACTGTCGGCACTAATTTTGTCAGCATTACGCAGGCCATCTTTACTTCCACATGACAAACATCCTGGTACCCATTTTAGACTGGGTCGACCTCCGACACCCCATACTATTAAATATATTATTAATTTCGTTTTTGCTTGTCATTCTCCATTCCCCGCTGTCTGCATCTTTGGTGGGTCCAAAGATTCGTCGTAAGACTGTTTTTCAAAATTTGTAATAAGGCTTCGTCACTTTTAGTTGGACTTAAAGTTTCAGTCATTTAAAACGACTGGTCTTTTCAAGGTTTCATAAATTTTGATCTAGGTGTTGCAAAGCAACATCCGCTAAAGTCAAGGTAAACCCACAAACCATTCAATAAACGCTAGGGTTATAACTAACGTCTAATGGCTACGTACTGTATGGGTTTCCAGGCTGGTATCCGGTGGTAAAGAATGTATCTTTGAAAGGAGCAATGTTAAGAGCATCAACCAGTATCGAAGTTATCCCGATGTTCCATTGGTGATTGCCAGGCTGGTAATCTCCACTCACACGAGCCTGGTGCAAATATCATTTTAAAACAAATCAATATAAAGAAGATGCAGCTTCCAAAAATAAAATCAGCTGGAAGCATGTTCTTTCCTGAATGGAAAACAGCACTGCAAATACAGCAGAGTGGTCTTTTTGACTGTGCTATGTCAGTTCTACAAACGATAGCTAACTAAAAGACACACAGTTTGTAGAAGCAACAGCTGATTCATTTAGGCTCTTCATTAGAATCATCTGTACTGCAGTACATTCTAAGTCACTTTCGCTTTGAAGGCAATGAAATAGCGGACAGACTGGCCAGAAGCGGCAGTGATATGGTACAACAAAATACTGACAACTCAGCAAAAGACGAAGACATTAATACAATCCAGGAACGGTGGCTGGATAAACACACATCAAATTCTCTCCTAAAGATTCGCTTCCTCGCCTCTCTAGAGAGGGACAATGTATAATTTTCAGACTAAAGATGGCACAACAGACTTCGTCAACAAATGCTCACACTTTTCGGTGGGGGAAACACTGAGACGTGTCCCTGCAGCGTGGCACCCGAAAATGTTGAGCATGTGCTCCATCACCGTCAACTGTATGCTGGCAACAGAGACGCAATCTGGCCTGTGCCAACCACAACGAAGACAAAGCTGTATGGTACACGAGAGGATATGAACTGCACGATAGCTTTTCTAAAGGCTACCGGACATCTCATATAAGTTTTCTGACAGAAGGATTGAAGAAGAAGAATGATAAACTGATTATATTAGAAAGTCTCCATACGCACTCTCACATGGGCAGTAGAAAGATAGTTGCGTATCCTTTACAGGATGTGGCAGAACCAACCCCAGCATTTTCTATCTGTTGTGGTTTTTCTAGGCAAATTTACATCCAGTAGTTACGGCCAATAATAAAATGATATAATAATAAATAAGCAACAAACATGTAACATAACTTAGCTTGTTCTTACCCGCATACGACTGCAGCTCACACCTGGCTGGTTTGGTCGTTACGGCTGACCTAAGTATGACTTCATTGGAGTTTGAACGGGGTATATGTGACCTACCTTGTTGGTCTGCCGTCGAGATTCAGGTGTTCAAAAGTTTTGGATGGTGTGGACAACCTATGGGTAGAAGCCTTTAGGGCACAGACTAATGGCTTTATAACTGATTTTAAATGGACTAAACTTCGCCTAAATAGGGAATTGAGTTGGGAACACTCATAGCATACTTGCTGGTGGGTCAACAAATCATGCGTTTAGGTTTTCAAATTCCCGTGTGGGTGCCGGGGTCCTTTTAAAGGGAAAACAAGAATAGACCAACTGCCTACCCAAAAGCATGTCATGAGAGTCGACTAATTGGGAGCTCTCTCCGAAGTCGGATTGTATCTGCCTGAGAGGCAAGGAACTAGCAGCCTGCATACAGATGAGTCCGATATGTAAAACGGATGCACACGCATCACTTAGGTTCTGGAAAGGGGCTGCAGTCCAGAAGTGGATGAACAACCAGAACTTTCCGCTGAGTTTACAGCTGGTAAACGCGAAGAAAAAGAAGAAGTTTTCGAAGATAACTATTTTAAAAAAGAAAAAGACACTGTATCGGCGATGCACGAATCGATAAATAGAACACTTAGTTAACGTTAAGAAAAAGTTTGTCTTATCATAGAGTTTTATTATTTGTCCTTGGTTAGCCCGCATTTTTTAAACATGAACTTTTTAAAATTGGCATTGGAAATATTGTTAACGAGGGACAGACGCGTTCACTAGTTATCAAACAGGATTGAAAGAGACGTGTGATTTCTTCTGGAACAAGAACGGAGTAGTTATGGAGCGATCTGTCTGCAGTTATATTTAGATTTCAGCCCACTAACTAACAACTAGACGTTGGAGATCAAGTGAAACAACCGTTACTGTTGAGGCAAAATTTGATACACATTTTCTTTTTTGTTGTCAAGTGCTAGAGGTTCCGGGTTCAATCCCCAGTATAGGCTGGGATTTTTTCATGTGGACTTGGACTTCTAGTAATTCCCCTGGTCTCTGGGTAGTAAGATTGGGCGCCCGTGTGCATTGTTGCGAACCTAAACAATCCCCTGGAAGTTAGAAATCGAAAAGAGTAGCCTAACGGCGCTGGCTTGGCAAAATTTTGGAGTTAAAATATCTACTCGAAGTATTTCAGGATCCTTGCCGATGCTACAGAGCCTGTGCACTGTGCTGCTTCACAGACTTGAGTTAAAAGAAGAACGGAGCACTTATGGGTTACTACCCGTGTGCCATGATGTTGATCCGTTGTTCAAAAACCTCAGAACCTCAACTCCCTCAACGGCATAATTGTTTGCCACTCTGCCATTTGCCACTCTGTCATTTGCCACTCTATCATTTGCCACTCTGTCATTTGCCACTCTGTCATTTGTCACTCTCTCTAGACGCCCTAGCTATCTGAGCTACAAGAGAAAAAAACACCCGGTGACACAAAGTGCCGACATGCAAATGAGGATCACCTGTCGAGAGGTTCCGAAAACCCTGTTCAGCCGTTAGACCATATTTCAGGCTGGGCTACATATAGGGCCCCCCGCCAAAGTCAGGGTGGGGCTTCAAAATAACTACAATTTGCTTCTCACAAGAAAATCATAAGATTGCTAGTAATTGGCTGATATTTTGACATGACACACAAATAATACTATAATAACAAACCAACCTGTGTGACAGCGGGAATTTCCAGAGCTTGTAGAATATGTCTGCCATAAGACATACAATACTGAATATTTATGGTTCCAAATTTTGCCGCTGCCTCTCCCATCTGAAGCAACCATCTCTGTCCAGTAGTTAAATTATTCTGCAGAATTGCATTGTTGTCAGTTTCTCTGTCCAGCCAGTCCTAGAAATATAAAATATAAATGTAGTCCAACACATTTATTCTAGCACATTTATTCTAGCACATTTATTTTAGCACATTTATTCTAGCACATTTATTGTAACACATGTTTCTAGCACAATAATTCTACTGCATTTAAGCTAGCAAATTTATTCTACCACATTTGTTCTAGCATATTTATTCTAGTGCATTTATTTTTTCTAGCACATTTATTTTAGAGCATTTATTTGAGTTCATTTATTCTAGTGCGTTTTTAAAAAAAATTCTAGTACATTTATTTTAGCACGGTTATTCTAGCACATTTACTCTAGCGCATATATTTACTCTAGTGCATTTATTTACTCTAGCATATTCATTCTAGCACATTTGTTCTATCACATTTCTTCTACCACATTTATTCTAGCACATTTATTGTAGCACATTTATTCTAGCACGTTTATTCTAGAACATTTTTTCGCACATTATTTTTAGTGCACTTATTCTAGCACATTTATTCTAGCATATTTATTCTAGTGCATTTATTTTTTCTAGCACATTTTTAGCACATTTATTCTAGTTCATTTATTATAGTGCATTTTTTTTTTATTCTAGTACATTTATTTTAGCACAGTTATTCTAGCACATTTACTCTAGTGCGTTTTTTTTTTTTTTTTGGCACATTGTTTTTAAAGATTCGTTCTTGTACCCTTATTCTAGCATATTTAATGCAGGGCATTTATTCCATTAGAGTTATCCTACCACAATTATTTAACACAATTTTTCTAGCACATTTCTTTTATTACACTTAGTCTAGCACATTTCTTTTATTACACTTAGTCTAGCACATTTCTTTTATTACACTTAGTCTAGCACATTTCTTTTTTTACACTTAGTCTAGCACATTTCTTTTATTACACTTAGTCTAGCACATTTCTTTTATTACACTTAGTCTAGCACATTTATTAATCTAAATTTTTTTTCTAGCACATTTTTGAAACAAATTTGTTCTATTACACTAATGTATGATATTTATTTTAACATTTATTTTCAAGCATATTTATTCTTAAAAAAAAAAAAAAAAAGGAAAAGGAGTGGGAATGAAACCAAACAAGCTGCAGAACAAGTTTGCAGCAATGATCCTCAAGGGCTCGGAATGCGGAAGAAGAGGAAGAAAGAAGAAGAAGAAAAAGAAAAAGAGGAAGAAGAAGAAGAAGAACAAGAACAAGAACAAGAAGAACAAGAAGAAGAAGAACAAGAAGAAGACGACAAAAACAAAATCCTAACCGTGGCGACAGCACTAACTAAAGATGCCAAATACTTCTGTCTGCATGTTAACTTTTTTCTTTAAGACGGCAAAGCAGATAGGATTTTCGACCTGAGAATATATGGCTTCATGGCTAGTGTAGTCGCTACAGACTGTGCAGATTAATTTGTGCAGCGAACAATGACAAAAAAGACATATTTAACAAAGATCGAACCATAATCTCTTCCACTAGAGTTAGAGTTATGTTGCCAAATGCCATATAATTACCACTACTGACCTGCTCATACAGAATGAAGTCTCCCCAGTTTTGCGTTTCATTGAATAGGTCAACCCAGAATTTCTGAAATTTTACGTTACCAGATATTATATTTAAAAAAATAATAGTATTGTGTTTAGTCTGCTTATCTCAGAGAGCGAAACTCCGTAGAAATGTGGCTGTATGATTGCTCCTTGGCGTGAACATCTTGGTTTCGAATCCTTAATGAGGTGGCAACTGGGCATATTACCATGTCGACTCTTCTTTGGCTGCTGAAAAAGGGGATAGAGCACACGCGGGAATTTTCCGAGTATAGTGAGGTCCATTCTTGATCGCTTCATTGTAGTCTTGTACTTAGCCTAAAAACACGATTTGGAAAAAACGTGTTGCTGTTCTATCGAGTTGACATCAGAATATCATTAGTCCTCCGTTTTTCACGACACGCAGTTGTGAAAAGGTTTAGGCTTAAACAAAGGATCAACATCATTGCACACAGGTAGTTTCCTATAAGTGCTACGTTCGACCTCTAACTCAATCCTGATTTCGAAGAATCTCGGTACAGGGCACGAACTCAACTGCACCGGCGAGGATCTTGGCATACTTTGGGTAGATTTTTAACTCCAGATTTTGCCGGGGCAGGGCGATTTGCTACTCTTTTTGATTTCCAACTGCCAAGGGATTTTGTACGTGCGCAAAAACAGACACGGCGTTCGATCTCATTACGCAAAGACTAGGGGAAATTACCAGAAGTCGTCGTGGGAAAATCCCAACCTTTACTGGGCCTGAACCGAGGACCTCCAGCACTCGAGGAGGACACTATGCATCGAGACCACTCAGCCACCAACTGTGAATAAAACTGTAAAACCACTCTATCATGAAGTAGCTCACCGCATAGGCGAGTGGCAACAGCCAGTCTGTCAGCCTCATTACCTCCGCACACTATCATTTCCTCGGCTGAAAATTACATGCTTTTACTGCAGCTTTACGCTGGCTAGAGAATACGACACACACACACACATACACACACACACATCGTGATTGTAAATGGCCCAGAAAGAATGCTGAGGAAGGTCAAAACATTCATGCTTCGTGCAGAGTGGCATCCTTAACTGCGGAGGACACGGGTGAGGAGTATTGTTTGGATTTTTTCAACAGGAAACGCCGGTATGTTGGGAAATGAACAGACGGACAGACTGGCTGGTTCTACACAACTTGGTGGAATACTGATGCATGATAAGGCAAACGTGGTTAGTGCATTGTGTGAGAGCGTGTACAGTTCGGAGGAGCAGATGGATCACCACAGTCTGGTGAGATTGATGCAGCGGGGTGTGAGGAGAGGTTCTGGCAGATGCTCGAGGCTCAGAGGAAAGGCAAGACGGACGTTTAATCAGAAGACTACTGGCACCATTAGTATCAGAACTCGGAGGGATTATGGAAATGCCCAAAGTGCTGTGATGTCGGTTCTTGATTCCACTCAGCTCAGCTCAACTTAGCGATGCGAGCCGTTCTATGCAATCTAAATTTTTTGAACCATCTTATGTGAATCCGAACATTCACAATATTTTATGACAGTCTCTACTATTACCCAGCCATCAGAAAGCTGCCGTTATTGCTAATTTCCTTACCATGATGTATTGTGAAGTGCACACTTCTAACAGTGAATTCTGCCCATAACAACCTTCTTATTCTTCGCTTTCTTACTTACATACTTGTACTTAGTCACTCCCCTTCTGCCTTTGGTTGTAGAGGTTTGCCAGAGAGATCGCCAGACGTCTCTATCAGCAGTTTTCTTTCTGGCTTTCTACTAATTCTTCGCGTTCACAAACTGTAAACTATGGCGGAATACTTGCCTGTGCATCCATTTCTGGACTTAGGTTTTGTTTTTGGATTTCAGTTCTGCATTCATATTCGATTTACATTTGAAACATGTTTGTGTGACCCTGATTGTAAATTCCTCGCCTCTCAGTCAAATGCGCCCCGACTTCGAAAGAAACATCAATATTTCATTTGTTGGTCTAACTCCTGGTTGAGAATCTGTTTTTATGATGACTATGAAGAGGTCAGATAGAGTTTTATCAATATAATCCGTGTTATTGGTGACACCATTGCGTGCTGTTAAGCATTTCTTCATCATCAGAATAATTCAAAAGCTACAACTTTTCAGCTGGTAGCTATTGGTATAATTAAACATCATTGACGGATGCAATAAAAAACAGCAGTATCGTCCAAAACATTATTAATACTAAAAGGATAGCAAGAAGGATACAGGATCTATTTTTATAGACTATTAATTTCTTAAATATTGCCGTTTCATTTTTTGTTGTTGTTGTTGTAATGACCGTCTGTAGAGGTAATGCAACATTATACTGAGTTATTAGTTAAATTATCTTCACAGCGCTCAGGACACATACATAAGCGGTCAGATTCCACTCTCAACATATTCATCAGCGTCGTGCGGTTAATAATGCCAGTCCTATGTTGGTTAACAAGACTTCATGTGTTTCCCATGTGCTTCTCATGATTGGCTGTGCCGATCTTTACTCAAAATTCACGTATCTTAGCAGTGATATTTACACATTGCTTCCAAAATCCTCAGAACGTCATATCTTTCTAAGGGCAATGACAATGTCTGCGTAATCCATGGGCCGGCCATTTTCAATTATTGCAGCACCTGCAAGTCTACCAGCTCCTTCATTACCAACAACGCCTGCATGACCTGGGACGAATATGAAGGTAACTGCACACACAGGAAAGTTTTGCAATGACTCAAACAACTGTATGCGTAACCAGCCTGCCTCGACCCACCGGATCATCTCCAAGATTCACTCAGCACACACACACACACGGAAATAGTTCTGTGATTTTAGCCACATGAAAGCTTGTGTCACCGCCATTACCTCTATCATGCTGCTGTTAGTCATTGAAAAGGCACGCTGGATTCTTGAACTGTTCTGCCTGGAGAGCAAGCTGTAAATGCCCATGCACCCTTATGTCCTCGTATAACGGACCCGTCTGTGAAGATCAGCACATCTGTCTCATCTGACTTGTCACTGATAAGCGCGCATACCTCAGCATTGACATCAGCTGGATTCTGCCCCCCCCCCCCCCCCCCCCCGACAATTCCTATCGAGCGTCACGACACAGGAGAATGTTAGATTGGGGCGCTTTAGACTCTGGTATCCACTCCTCACCTGGATGGATGTCTGTAAGACTGCAAAGCTGCATGATGTCATCATCTGCCCTACCCAGCCATGATTTCCCCCTTTAAAGCCTATTGCCCTTATATACTGCAACATATACTGTTACATTATGTGTTATTTTATGTACTGTTTTTCACATTACAGCTCTATTTGTATTCGATTCTACTGGTTAAATTGCTAATAGTCTTTGGATGAACCGCTTTAGTATCAGGAAATGACATCATACATTGTTGAAAAACTACATTCGAGAACCTGACACCCTTAATTAAGGAAAACATGCTCATCGAGATACACTCTTTCTTCAATAGTCAACACAATTATAGCTAACATTAGTTAATAAAACACTGGTATATAGCAGTGATATTCTAAACTAATGGTTGAATGGTGATGCGTCCGTGGCTTAGGCATTGCGAGTCTGACTCGTAACTCCAATGTACCGCGATCGAAACCCACTGCTGGCTGCGTGGATTTTTATAATGGTATGGGGCGTCGCAGGTCGACCCAGCAAGCAATGGGTATCATGATGGCTGTCCTTGGGAATTAAAGACAGCCGGCGTAATGCTGACCACATTACCCAGCTAGTGCCTAGTGTCTGTAAAAATATGGGCGCTTTTCCCATACCCAATGCGCCTAAAAAGCGTGATCAGGGGAAAATTGGTTGAATGGTGCTGGAAACATTAATAATACACACATTTAATTGCGATGTCCAAAGTAACTGATTTAAAATACATACTGTCATTATACATACACCTTATACTAATGTTATGATTAGCATCAACCAAAAACGTATCTGCTTACAGCATCATCAGGCACCGCGTATCCCGTCTTTGTGTCACGAATGAAGTTGTACTTTCCACCATTATACTTGGCGTACTTTGTCTCAGCGTCCCTTCACAGTCGGAAAAAGTCAGTTAATGCATGCACTTCTAAACAAACTTTACATACTGATAATATTAACAACAAGACTATAACTTTGAGGAGGGGGCAAAGAGATATATCACACACCTGGAACATTAGGACTCATTCACGTTAAGACACCCCCCCCCCCCCATCCCCAACCACAATTTATGTGGGATGAAGGGTGATGAGAATATCCTTGGAGATAGATAAAAAAGTGTAATAAAGACGTCTTGAAATAAACGGACTCATCAAGAGAACTGCTAATCCACATCATAAAGAGCAATCTACATTCTTTGACCACTTGATGAGATGGAGAACACTGGAATACATCGTGACGGTAGGAAAGCTGGAAGGGAGGAGAGGCAGAGGGAGACCAAGAGAACAGATGCTCGTCAGTATGACGTCATTACATAAAAGATTATCTGTGTCAAAGTTGATTGATATTACACGAGCCAAAAGGTTATGGATAGACATGACTACCAGCGTCAACTGCATGGACTTTAGGAAGAAGAAGAAGAAGAGGGTGCTAAGACCAAAATTCTATATTAATTGTTATGTAGCAGAGCCCCACCGACTCTGATCCTGCTTAAATGTCCTCTGTTAAAGCATGTGTCAATACATTTTATGTTATTTCAGATAAATTACTTTGCTATTCAGCATACAACACAAATAATAATAATACACAAGGCTGAAGCCCTATCCCACCCCCCCCCCCTCTCATCACTTAAAAAAAAAGTAAAGGGTTGAGCGTCTCTGCCGCATCGGGAATTTAATCATCATCATCATCATTAATGTCCCAGTTTTGGACGTTAAAAACCACGTGGGAAGGAGCAGCTTGATGGGCAGTAATGATACTGCCATTCCGTGTCGATGTAGCATATCTTTAAGATCATCAGTCCATATTATCTAGCCACGATCTCTTGCTTTCACTTCAGATCTCCTCATGTGTAGCGCTGCGTTGGTGGTTGTTCTGGCTGCATTCTCACTTAGATGACCAACGAATTTATCTTCTGTTTTTCGCAATGAATTTGCTGTATGGTTTTTTCCTAAACTTTGATAATTTCTAACATTTGTCTCCGGATGGTTATGTTGGCCTCTCTTTTATTCAAGCATCTCTTCTCACCAAGTTTATTATGCTAGATTAACATTAGTTTATACCTATCGACACTAAATAGAGGATCGTGGTCCAACGTCACGCTGGGCGGCCACTATTTTCAGCGAAGTGGCTGGACGCACGTCTATAATTCCCGAACTGTGTGGGTTTGAAATCTGCATCCAGTCGGATGTTTTGTTTTGTAAATTGACCTTGGCTGTCAGGTCGACCTAGCCTAACATGGGTTCCCTTTTAGTGTTCTATAGTAACTAAAAGGCGACTGGTTTGAAAAATGTATGGCTAGGATCATAGACGCCTTATAAGCCGTTAGCTCAAAAAGGGGATTTTATACTTTTAGTTCACATACATACACACATACATACATACATACATACATACATAAATACATACACACACACACACACATACATACATACGTACATACATACATACGAACACACATACATACATACATACATACATACACACATACATACATACATACATACATACACACACACACACACACACACGCACGCACGCACGCACGCACGCACGCACGCACGCACGCACGCATGCATGCATGCACGCACGCACGCACGCACGCACGCACGCATGCATGCATGTATGT